TGGCTTATATCGTGATAGATATCGTTATCGCCTGAAATGAAAAAAACATATCGTGATATGAAAAAATCTCATATCGCCCAGCTCTAATTCAAACCCAGTAGGCGTGTTTTTCAAACAGTTCATATTATATTTTGAATCCATCTGATTCAGAATACCTGCGTATGCTGATTTGAAGCTTGTGTTTCTGCCGGTGCCCATAGTCTTGCATTTATCAGAGTTAGACAGTAGAGGTACCGTTTTATATTGGTTTAAAATACACAGAATTTCTCAATTTGTTTCATTTCAGTAGCGTGATCAGTTGTGAAGTCTTTGCACTGAAACATCTTAATAATTACTATGAACTTTTACATTTCTATCATGTTTTCAAAGCAAATCCTACTCTGTTTTAGACTCACCATGTCTTTAAGAGCAGTTACAGTATTGTCTGTGTCTTTTAGTCAGGTACTTCAGCATCTGCTGCACAAAAGCTTTTCTTTTAAAAATTTATGGGCCACTCAGAAAATTTCTCTTGTGGTCTAATGGCCTTGATTATAAACTGGTTGCAAACTAGCAGCACTGTATTAATGCATTAAAATGTTTCTTTTATTTCTTCCTAATATTTCGCCTTTTCTGGTACCCCTGATCCTCTGTCACCGCAGCCTTACATTTTCATTCCATTTTACCTCTATAAACACTGCACATGAACTTTACAGACTTTATTATAAAATACAGTATTAAACTTTAACATATTGGGGGCTTGTTTTTCTTCCACAGGAATTAATCATGGCCCAGTGATAGCCGGAGTAATCGGAGCAAGGAAACCTCAGTATGACATCTGGGGCAACACAGTCAATGTAGCCAGCAGAATGGAGAGCACTGGAGAGCTGGGAAAAATCCAGGTATGTTCTTTAAGGTCAAATGGTCACTTCTCACACAGCATATCTCAACATTTACAAAAGATCCAATTTCGAACTGGACTCGGGTTTTATTTTCCTTACCTATCTCAACTGCTGCAAAAATAAACTCCTCCTGTCCTTAACCAGCCACGAGAACAACCTCTGAGAAAACCGTTACATTGTTTCTTTCTCTTCCAATTGCACTTTATGCTCTGTATCACATTTATTGGCAGATCAAAAGCTATTCATGCTTTAACTTGAGAAAATATGTAAATTACTTTGGAATCAAAGCCATTAGCAGAGACAAAGTGCCACCTGAGATGCGTATTGTTTAATGTAGTCACGGGAAAACGATTTTGCTGCAGGGAAGGTCTCGCATTGAATTTGTGCTAATCCAATTTCCTTTCCGTTTGCTTTGCCTGCTTTCAGGTAACAGAGGAAACATCTGTCGTGTTGCAGGACCTGGGCTACTCATGCGAGTGTCGAGGACTAATCAATGTGAAGGGCAAAGGGGAGCTCAAAACTTTCTTTGTGTGCACCGATATGAGCAAGCAGCAAGGTATGGGTCTGAGCTGAGGCCAGGTCAATGCTGCAAAAAGAACTGGGGACAAACTAGTTTACAGACTTCTGCTGGTCACACATGCGCACCTGCTAGCTGCGTTCCTGTGATGTTACTGAATTAAGGATTTTTAAAGGAACTGCTTATTTGCTGTGTGGTGGATATTGCATTCAACACCCAGCATCTCATGGTTGGATCAGGAGATGACTGAGGAGATGGTCAGTATGTACAATCACCATCTTTTTCTAGTCACAAACACATTGACACAAGTGATCGATCACTTTTGTACTATTTTCCATGTCTGTAATTTTATGTGATAGAAAAAAACGTGTATTGTACTAAAGCCAAATGCAGTTGAGATTTTGGATGTCCATTTTGGTCTTTTAAAACAAAAAATAAGAGGGGGAAAAATCTCCAGTGGATTCTGTTTGAATCTGAAAGTTGTATGGGTTTCGTTTTGAGAGGCGATGGACACTGTTGCTGTTACTGTGTAATGAGCCAGACATAAATGTGTTAAGCTGTTTCAATGTCAGAAACCAGCTGTGCAGAAGACAGGGAAACTTCTCTTGCTCCCATCTGTAGAAGTAAATCTAGAAAGCTTTACTTTGTGGCTAAACTGCAAATCCTGAAGCAGATTAAGATTAGGTTTCCATCACTTTGTGGTCTTTATGTGACCTTTTAGGAATTCCAGCTGTGCTGTTTGGCCTTAGGAACAATAATTTAATATTAAGGTACGTACTGTATTTCAGGAGGAAATACATTTTCTTTATGTATGCCATCTGTGTAAGTGTTTAATCTGCTCAGATAAGAAATCAATTTTCAGCATCTTTGCCTGCCTGTCTCCATATATGCTGCGATGAAGGGTATCTGTGACGCTCTCTTCGATGTCCTCGATCTGTGTGATCTAACAACCTGCCTGCTGTGAATGTTTTTTCTGGCCCCAGCTCAGAGACCACTTAAACTGATCTGGATCACTTTCTGTGCCTCTGAAACTTGTCTTGTGGCCTTATCTTCTGAGACCAACATTTTGTCTGTAATTGTGGTTACATAATATTAACAACAATAATAATAATAATGTACTGGCCTTTCCGTGAACAAATGTGACATTGACTTTTGTACAGTTACAGAATGTAATAAATGTTTTAAGTCTGCAGTTTGTCACGCAGCGTTACACAAGAGCCAAGGTTGTTGGTTTTTATTAAAAAAAAGTTTATTGGCCGAAAAGCATACAAATGTAACACAAAAAGCACTTTTTGTACAAAACTTAAGTTATTACACTGAATGAGAGTGTTTGGAATTTCATTACACAGCGATAACTGGAACCACATCTGGACAACTGGTCTCCATGGCTTCAGCCGTGTCCTGCACTGAAAACGTGGAAAAGTTCTCGTCTGCAATTTTCTGTTTTTTGTAAGGTTACATACTGCATTTGACACAACTTAAGAGAAACTGCCTTTTACCTGTAGTGAGGTCTATGAAGAGCTCAGGTGGGTCTGGAGGGGCAGCAATGCCCATGGCCTTCCTGATGCCGTAGATACTGCTGACATCACATGGGGCCACCTGACTAGTCAGCTCAGCCAAGTTTGATGTCACCTTCTCAGCTGTAAAGGTAGGAGGATGAACGTGAAGATAGCAGGAAATTAAGATATTAAGAAAAAGCAGATTTTTTTTTTTTTTTTTAAAAACAAAAACAAAAAACAGATGTATGACTGGTTGTATTTACCAGGCCTACATCTGGTTATTTTTTTGTTTGTTTGTTTTAATCTATATATCTATTGATACTCTGACTTGGATCAGCTGCTGTTTGTTTTTGCAGCTCCAAACATGTTGGCAACAGAGTGTCCTCTGGTGGGCAAAACAGACAACACTCATATTTGAAGGGTGTTTCTCACATCTCTCCTTTACTTTAATTTTCATTTATTAACTGTTGAATACACAGATACAGACGTATCAACAAATTGCTAATAATGTTAAATGTGATGGCAGGAGCATGCTGCTGACATGTTTAACATGGTGACAACACTTGAGGCAAGATAACGGAACTGCTATTAACCTTGTTATTATATTATATTAATTAAATTATCCTACATTTTAATGGTGAACTGAATAAAGAAATAGCTTCCTGCCTTTACACTTAACATGATTTGATTGGCTGGTGCCTGTATTGGCATTCTACATGACTAACTATTAAGTTATCAGTACAAACGGCGAGCGAGAGAAAGAAAGAAAACAGATATGAACTGAACCACATTTCTTAAGAACTGTTACATCCATTACAAAATGTCACTTTACAGGAAGTGACCTCAGCAAAAACAAGCTGATATGTTGATACATGTTGATAGCTGGAAGTGGCTTAAATATATGGTTTAAATGCTCTAACATGGAAAGGAAGCAATCAATGAATCATCCTAAATCAGTGAGTCAACTGATGGGCAGGTTTGCGAAATTTTATTTAAACAAAAAGAAATTCATTTCATTCTTGTCCTATTGTAAGATAATCAGCCTAGTGTGGCTGACTGTACTTACAGTAATTGACCTTTCTTATTTAAAGTCTCCTACATTTTGATGCTGAACTAAATAAGGAACTAGCTCCCTCGGCTTAATTTGATTGGTTGGTGCCTGTGCTGGCATTCCACAAGGCTATCTCTTAAGTTATCAGAACAATACTTGTTACAGCATGTAACAATTCAGTTCAGCACTGCATGAAGTCACACCATCCTAAGAAACAATTTACCGAGTAAAGAGGTTATTTTAAACACAAAAGTATTAAATGGTGATCAAGGACAACCGTTTATCTGAAAACCCTATTAATTGTAAATATAGCCTATGAAATTAGGTCGCTTTTTAATTTTATAAAGTCATCTGAAATAGAGAGCTACGTATTGCCATTCAGCATAAAAGTTCTTTTCCACAAAATGTGTCTCTTAACCTCTTAAGCCCCAAGGGGGTTTCTGAGCTTCCTGCTCAAAAATGTAATGCCCAAATTTAATTGATTATTTCTCTGCAATTACAAACTCTGTCCTTACAATCTTGGTATCAAAATAAAGCTAACACTTGGGAAATTTCATCAGAGGTGTAAATATTGAAGCAGATATTATTACTGTGTCAAAGTTACTGAGACTGGAACACAGAAAAAGTAACTAGATTTTATCCTCGCCTATTTTATTTTTTTTTTGTAATTTTTGGCTTATAACCCTTTTAAAAATATGACTCAGATCACATTTGGTTCCAGAAATTCAGTAACCAACATATAAACATCATCTGTGCAAAGATTTGTTTCTAAAGTGAAACAGTGAAAAAAATTACAGCCCTGTCAATACATGAATATCCAGATGTTGTACAAAAATGTCCAATTTTGGCACAATTGTACACCATGCCAGTTGATTTTTTAGGTATTAAAGAGCAGAAATTAATAAGGCCTAAAAATGCTTTTTTTAAAAAAAAATATATTTTTGAAGAATTAACCACACATTTACATGGTAATGGCCCTTTTCTGCAGTGCACATAGAGCGTTTGATTGGCCTCTGCCCCTTTTAAACTCCGAGGGGCTGTAACTTTGGTTTCTTTTGGTCAATTTGCGTGATTGACACCTTTTTAATCGTTTGAGCCAATAGATTCACTTCAAAAGCCACGTTCACGTCACTTCAACCATTTAGACGTTGTAATGCTAAAACCCACGTGGGCCCAAATTTACTGCATGTTGCGTCTGTCCAGTCACGTGTCTGCAGGTGGGTCTAAAATGGAGGTTGTTGACGGAAAACAGCTCTGATGCGGCTAGGTAGGCATGGTAACTACTGGTAATCACGTGGCTACCAGCGAAAAATAACGGAGGAAATCGGGACGGTAAGCCAATTTCTGTCTTAGCGCATTTGCGCCGCTGTGTGTTTTTGTGGTCTTCTTTTGCGGCTCATTCAGTGAATTTTGGTCTGATCGTGGTGAAACTTGGTGTGTGGAGTCAGTGATAGCCCTGGAAGCTAACCAGCCCATCTTTAGCCGGTTACATGAAGTCTGTAGAATTTCTGGTTCGGTTTGTTTAACGGACTTCTGCGCATTTACGTAACTGCTCGTTTCACGGCTTGTTTTCGGTGTGTTTGGTGGCTGTAGAAATGGTTTATATGACATTTTGCGCAGAGTCTGAGGTTTCTGTGGATACCACACATGTCTGGACTTATATTTCTCAACCAGCGTTATAATCGATTAAACGTGATCTCCTCCTTTTTGCCCCCGGTACCGGGGGGGTGGGGTTTAAGTGGTTAAAAAAGAAGTTTTGGCACAGGTTACATCAAAATGTGTTTTTTTTCCCCGCTGGGTTCACTCTTTTAAAGACAGCAGACCAATGGATGCCCTTTTTAACTGTAATTTAGATATAAGATCTTGGATGGCAGAAAACGTTTTACAGCTTAACCAGGACAAGACTGAAGTTTTAATCATCGGTCCTGAGGCTCAGAGAGAGAAACTCTTGTCTAAATTACAGGCATTTTCACTATGTCCTTCTCTACAAGTGACAAACCTGGGTGTTATTTTTGACTCCGAGCTTGGGTTTATCCCACATATTAAACATGTAACCAAAATTGGATTTTATCATCTAAAAAATATAGCCAGAGTCCGCCCTATTCTCTCTCGGGCCAACACGGAGATGTTGACACATACTTTTATTACCAGTGGCATTGATTACTGTAATGCCCTGCTCTCTGGTCCCCCCCAAAAATAATATTTCACCTTTACAGCTTTTACAAAACTCTGCAGCTTGTGTGCTGACGAAGACCAGAGGGCGGGCCCACATTACACCGGTTTTAGAATCGCTGCATTGGCTCCCCGTGTGTTTCAGGATCGATTTTAAAGTTCTTTTATTGGTTTTTAAATGTCTTAATGGTCTTGGGCCTTCTTATCTCTCACATTTGCTTTTACCATATGAACCCTCGCGGACCCTGAGGGGGGATGTGTATGTATGTATGTATGTATGTATCCATGATCATTTATGTTAATGAGAGTGTGGGGAGTGAGTTGGAGGGCGGGGTGGGCTGCTTTTAACCATGTAAAGCACTTTGTGCTACATTTCTGTATGAAAAGTGCTTTATAAATAAAGATTGATTGATTGAAAGAAAAATATTCTGGAAAGGGGGTCCCAGTGATCTGAATCAGGCCAATGTCTACCACACCTGTGAAGGATGCAGGCTACAGAGGTAAATGAAGTGTTGTTCGAGGTCTACAGCTGACTTTAGTGGAAGAACAAAGACGCCCATGCACTATGAGGCTCTTACCCAGCTCCAGCTCCTTGGCAGTCGGGGCCAGCAAGCAGATCATGTTTGGTGGCTGCTTGGCACTCAGACGTTCCCTCTGAACTTCCTGCAAGTTGCGCAGGAGCTTTGTAGTCTCGTCCAATTTCTGCTGGATGTTCAGGGCTTCTGTGTGAGGGAAGGAGAACACGCAGCAAGTAAATACTTCCTCTGAGTTCCTCCAGTTACCTTCTGGTAACCCCCCCGCAAATCATTTCTTTCTAACACAATATAGCCACTGTTTCTGAGCCCTGACACAGACCCATGGGTTCTCGTGTTACATTAATACTCGAAGGTGCCGAAAGCTGATGACAGAAGAATTCTAGAAAGATCTCAAAGGAAACATAATAGGACGATGGACAGCTAATATGTCGCTCAAACAGTTTTAGACATTAAAATGTTTACATTATGTACTATCTTGACAGAACAATGAGCCACGGTACACTTATGTATATACATAGGGAGAACAAATATAATAAATAATGGCCATGAATTTTAAAAAGTACCATGACAGATTTTTCATCATATCCCCAATACTATGTGAACTTGTAGTTTTCTGATTCTCATTTCTCTTCTCATCAGCATGAGGCAGGTCCTTAAACTGCCTGTAGTGCCACAATTCTTCTTATTTCCTGCCATCAAGAAAAGGCATTAAAAATATTTCTGCTGAGTTAAAAATTAATACCACTAAGAAGGAAAATAAATCCCTTTTTGATTGTCATACCATCGAAGAACGATGGGAAGCCAGTGGGGACATTAACAGTGCATTCATGCAGAATAATTGAAAAGATACATTCCCATGTTGGCTTTGTCATCTCAGTTTTATTTAAATAGCAACAGCATTCATCCAAAGGTACTTTTAATCTTAAAGATAAAGATCCTGCAAAAAAATTGGGACTAAGAATTATGACACGAGAACTGAAGGTCTGCAAACTTGTATCATAATTCCATCATGCTCTATCACAATATCCATTGTAGGATGTTAATGCTCAGGTAGATCCTGGTAGTCTGGTGAGTGCTGTGATATTTAAAGATGTTTTTTTTCTCCAGGTAAATTTCAGTATTTTGATGATCATGTTTATGATTAAGTGACGTTCCCTGTGGTAAAAAACAAAAAAAGGGCTGTTTTCCCTACTGCCCATTTCCCTAAAAAAAACAACAACAACAACAAAAAACTCCCCAAAAAACAACAACCAAAACCCAGGTATGAACTGAACCACTTAAGAATTGTTAGGGTCAGGGCTGTAGTGACTGAAAGTTTCCTGTGGATGTAGATCTACATGTGTATGTAGATGTAGAACATTAGGTGCTTGATTTTGGCAAAATATTTCATCACAATTACTAAGGTCACAAGTTTTTGATCATGTAATTAATACAGATCCAGGGCTGAGGACCGGGCAGTGACAAAAGATGAACTAAATGAGTCCATCAGTGTAATTTGGGCTTTTAGGTGGGAAAAAAAAAAGTGGAGGTGCCTGAATGACAAAACGAGCATGATTGCGAAACAGAATTCGGCACAATAAGCATTTTATCTTAATCAGCTTGTTTTCATCATGGAAAGATGAAAAGTATTAATGACATGTGTTTATAGTGCTTGCTAAAGGAACCAAATTAAACATTTTAAAGATGTTCTGATCATTCCTAAAAGTGTAATTAGCTGCAACTTTAAATACAGAAAAAAAAAAAGTCAGACGTTTTACCCTCAGAAAGCTCCTCAGTCATCTGCAGGCCTGCAGCAGAGCGCAGGAAATCCAGTCTGTCAGATGTTTGGGGGTCAGCTACCTACCAAAGACAGAGGGGAAACAACATGGTTAGTTAGATTAGAAAAATGCATTCCACACTGGACATAAAAGGGAACATCACAATCTTTTGAAGCTTCTTTTGTCATGCTACTTCTTCACTACAATAAAATCAGGCCTAATCAAAAGCTGCAACACTCGAGCAGGGGATGAGAGTAAACTGGAGGGCGGCCAAAAACAGCAAGAAGCTAGCACAGAGGGCCGCTGTTTGTCTGACGGTGGGCCCCTGCTCTGGTTTCCTCTACTGCTCTGAGGAGCGATTCAGCTTCACAGTCAGTGGGCAGTAGAGGAAAACAGTCCTCTCAAAATTCTCCAACAGCGGGCCTTGAGCATGTAGTACTGCTGTGTTTTAAAAGGAAATGTTCTTTCCATCCTTACGCCAGGCCCCTGCTATGTTGACACAGCTGGTGGATGCAGCAGTCATCAGCTGAGGCCATCTAGAACACAAATTAAATCCATGGGGTATAATGGAGGAGCACGTGATATGCTTTGCACTGAACAGCAGCAGCTTCAAAAGCAGTGCTGATGAGGATGAGTGGCTCCGGTTTTGTATTACATAGCGAACGCTGGCACTCGTCACTCGACTCACCTCACGCACATTTCTATTACATGCTGCACATTTTTTGATCAGGGTTTCAGCTCCAGATTCTCTCACCTCCACGGTATCCTTGTCCTCTTGTATATTTGACAGCTGCTCTACTTGCTGGAGGAAAAAATGACAAAAAACCCCCCAAAGCAAAACAAAAACATTCATTTAGTCAACTGGAAGACTTTCCTGTCCTGAAACAAAAAACAACAAATGACGTCAGAGAAAAGCTTACTTGCTCGGTGTCCTTCAGGATTCTTGAATGCTCTCCGTTTGTCACTGCATCCAGGAGGTTGTCTGCCAGTTTGTACACATACTCTTCTGATTTGGCCAGGAACTCTGACAAGCTGCCAAACAACCAACCAAATGAAACTTTACTACAGTTATTTCCTATGCAGCAGCGGTGTAAAAGTCTGAATCATTTTGTTGACTGAGAATAATGACAAGTAGTTGATATTGACACTCCTGCAAATTGGTGGAAAAATAACTGCACCTCCTACACAACCAGTCAAATAAGGACGTGCTACTAATGGTAATTAAAGATTTTCATTAATTTGTAAACAAAAATCATACTGTGCTTTTCCGTTTAGAGGAAAAAACAGACACAAGAGACAATGAGCATGTGGTAACAATAACCTAAATACATATAGTAATATGTACTAGTCCCAGTTTCCCTTGGCCCCTTGGAAAAATTGATTGCTCCCCCCCCCCCTTTTTTTTTTAAATCACCTTGCATTTACTGAACTTTTCAGTTGAATGATTTAAGGATCAACCATATATATATGTATTTCCTTAAAATTCTCCTAAAAATTATGTAGACAAATAAAATTGAAATTAAAATCCTGTCATGGATAACTAATGGTCCCCACTGACTGCAGCAGTCATCATAGAACGAGCCCATGTAGCTTCACCTACTCAAACCTTTTTGTGGCTTTTATATTCCCTAGATCTTTTTCATTCTGAACACTTTGGAGTTCCACAAGATGTACCAACCTGTTATGAGCATGAACATCATGAGAGAATAAAACAGAAACAAGATGAAACTGAAGTTTACGAAGAGATGAAGGGTTTGAGTCAGGGTGAGGCTCCGCTTACAGTTTACCTCCTCCTGATACAGAAAATCCAGTGGAAAAAGAGGAACATCTGGAAAGTAATCAGTGAGGAATGCCTCGCTGCGTAAAAGACACAGAGCTCGGGTCCTTATACAGACACGCTGTTCATACCTGTCTGAGCCCTGCAGGCTGGACTCGTCTCCATAGAGAGAGTAGATAAGGTCAGAATCTTCCTTGCTGATGTTGGCGAAGCTGGAGTCGTAGGTTGGCGCGTAGGAGGTGAATGGCCCATAGTTCATGTAGGACACTGTGGAAAGTGCCGCACACAGATAATTTATTGTCTTTCCTTTGAGACTCTGATATCAACAATATGGAGAAACAAAGGTAGAACCATACCTGGGGTGATCCTGTTCCTCTTGTCCTCCCTGAAACCCTGCAAGGTGTTCACACCGCTCTGCAGCCGGTTGGACATCATGCCGAGTTTCACAGGACAATAACCCACATCTGCAACAGCAAACACAGTTTTTTTTTTCCCCCCTCAAGTCTCTGGCTGCATCATCATTTCTTTTATAGGTCTGGAAATACTAATCAACCATTAAAATTTCCCAGTCATAGTTTACAGAAATTAAAATCAAAGAAGCCAAAGGAAACTTATATTTCGCTTTTTTGTGTATAAGATGTTGTTGTGTAAAGTGGATTTATTATGCTTCTATATTTGTATTTTTGGACTTCAAGAGTGGTGCAGCCTTTCAGTTCATCCACGGCCAGAGCTTACAACAGAAGCTGATGGTGTTTTCATTTATAACTGTGTGGGCTGCAGTGATGGAGTCGTGTAGTTACATTTCTAGGGTTTCAGAACATTTTGCGCTTATAATGTCTCTGTGATGTAGATTTAACACAGAAGTATAACTCCAACTGAAAACAGACTGTTTTAGCTCCTCTTTCTTTAAGCTGTTTCCTTCTGATTGGTTGTCCTACATAAACCCCTTTGACTCAAAATTCAAGCCTGCACTTTTGGCCTAAAAGGATTAATGGTATATGTGCTGATCTTTTTACATTAAAGCCATATTCAATATGAACATCCACCGCTGTGGCAAATTGTAATAATTGGTCTAATTGCGCTCTTTTATAGTTCCAAAATGGTCTCACCTCCTGCTGAGGGATCTGCTGGGTTGAGGATAGCCAGAGTGGTGGAGCCATCTGACTTCCGCCTTGCAAACTCCAACTACAAAACAAACAGTGATAGTGAAAGAGGAATAAAAATAATGAGAAAATATTACATTATTGGATTCTAGTTAATTAGATAAGACACAATGGACATCAGATAAATAACCAGCACTGACTCTACAACATCGTCTCCAGAGTCTAAAACAAAAAAGAAGGTGTGGATATATTTTAAACTGGGGCCCTTACTGGTTTTTAAACACAAAGCCTAATTTTTAAAGTAGAGCGCCAAAGCTCTTTTGGCAAAACAAAAGCGGCAAAGCATTTTTATTCATGCTCTAAATCTCTGTGGTCACTGACTGCACACACAGCCTGTAAAAATAATAACAGTGAGCACTGATTACATCACAAAACTGTCCAGAAGATGTAACTCAAGTCTTTTCAACCTTAAGCAGCTGTTCTGTAATTCTAAAGAAATTACAAAAATGTGAAGTAAAAAAACAGAAACTATTCTTCCACTATGATCTGTTTATTAATAAAAGGAAACATCAGTATATCTTGATTCAACTTTATGGGCCAAAATTCCTAAATGGGGCAAAATAGCGAGTGAGCGCAATTGCCAAATAGCGCTAAAGTTCAAAAGGTTAACAACTCTTACAATTTTGTCCATTTGTAAATATTGAGAGAACTTTTTTTTCTGGTGCAACATATTAGTAAATCTGGCCCTATGGGGTTAAACGAGGATCTGCTGGGGTTAGTTGGTTCGCTTTGTCTTACTTTTTTCCCTCACTGAGAAGAAAAAAAGAAAACATAAGTAAATATTTACAAATATTTACATCACCCACTCGTTCCCGGTGGGTGATGGGCTTCGCCAGGGCTGCCCTTTGTCTCCGGTTCTGTTCATAATTTTTATGGACAGGATTTCTAGGCGCAGCCAAGTGGCGGAGGGCTTTCGCTTTGGTGGCCTCAGAATCTCATCTCTGATTTTTGCAGATGATGTGGTTCTGTTGGCTTTATCGGGTGAGGGCCTCCAGCTCGCACTGGAACGGTTCGCAGCCGAGTGTGAAGCAGCGGGAATGAGGATCAGCACCTCCAAATCCGAGGCCATGGTTCTCAGCCGGAAAAGGGTGGAGTGCCCACTCCGGGTCGGGGATGAGTTCCTGCCCCAAGTGGAGGAGTTCAAGTATCTCGGGGTCTTGTTCGCGAGTGATGGGAGAAGGGAGCCGGAGATCGACAGACGGATTGGGGCTGCAGCTGCAGTAATGCGGACGCTGCACCGGTCCGTCGTGGTGAAGAGGGAGCTGAGTGTAAAAGCGAAGCTCTCAATTTACCAGTCGATCTACGTCCCTACCCTCACCTATGGCCACGAGCTGTGGGTAGTGACCGAAAGAACGAGATCGCGGATACAAGCGGCAGAAATGAGCTTCCTCCGAAGGGTGGCTGGCCTCTCCCTTAGAGATAGGGTGAGAAGTTCGGCCATCCGGGAGGGGCTCAGAGTAGAGCAGCTGCTGCTCCACATCGAAAGGAGCCAGCTGAGGTGGTTCGGGCATCTGACAAGGATGCCCCCTGGGCGCCTCCTGGGCGAGGTGTTCCAGGCATGTCCCACCGGGAGGAGGCCCGGGGCAGACCCAGGACACGCTGGAGAGATTATATCTCTCGGCTGGCCTGGGAACGCCTTGGTGTTCCCCCGGACAAGCTGGAGGAGGTGGCTGGGGAGAGGGAGGTCTGGGCCTCTTTGCTTAGGCTGCTGCCCCTGCGACCTGGCCCCGGACAAAGCGGATGAAGATGGATGGATGGATGGATATTTACAATTTATATGTAATGGAAATCTGAAAGGATTAATATATGTCTCATATTAGATTTTCCTTATCTAATCTACAATGACTTTTCTTAATCCTGCTTCTTCTCATGTCTTTCTCATCTACCCTTCAGATCATTTCATTCAATTACTGCTTTCAACTTTAAACAAGCTCTTGCTGACTACGTAATCTAAAGCGAGTTAAATTGAATCCGCACTTAAGTGTAAACAATTGGGAGTTATGCTTAAGAAATTACATTTCCGCTATACATGAGTTTAACTTCTCCTTTCCATGGTTACTATTTTGATTCATAAGATAACCATAATGCAAAATACTGCGTTATACTGTGTGATAATGTATTTAGTGTTGGAAATTTTGTCTAAATCAGTAAAAACTGCTTAAGATTTATGAGCAAGTCATTCCACAAAGTTATTTAGAACATTCTTAAGAGAATGGGACCTGTAATACCACAATGCCATCTGAAACATTATGATCTAAAAGATCAGATATATCAGTTTGAAAGCGTGTTCTTGTGTTTAACCCTGTTTTCTCACATCAGACTGCAGCACTCTGTTGGACAGCTTTCCTCCAGACTTCTCAATGACCTTGCGTATTTCCTGAAGCTCTTTCTCTGCTTTTGCTGCTTCGTCCTTAGAGTCTTTGTCCTGTCTGCAAATGAAAAGCAAATTGAAAGATGCCAGATGATGAAACACTGTGACCGTGAATGTACTTTGTGGCAACAACAAAAAGTATACACACAGCAGAGAGGAAATTTGCAGGAGTTTTTCTGTTCATTGTATGCCCACAATCTGTGTTCATTGCTCAGATAATTTACCTGTAAGCTTTTGCTGACGTCAACGAACAGATTTTGAGACAGCATATTTTACGAGATAAAAGGTAACTGAATGAAAAACAGCCTACTACGTGGCTTTCTGGGGCTCGTCCTCTTATAGCGAGTCATAATAAAATGCATAATGTCAGCATACGGGTTCTGTTACATCACCAAGTTAAAACACAGCTGTAAAAGATGATAGCCAAGAGAAAACAAGCCCCAGCATGTCATCAGGCATTCCCCACATTCTCAGCCTCCAGCTCCACAGTGGAAAACAAGCTCACAGGAATCAACACGGTGCACTTATGGGAAACTGTTTCCACTCATATGCTGCATCTCTTCATATTTCTCAGTTCTGCTGATACAAATGTGAAACCTTCTACTCTTTTAATTTTACAAATATGTAATTGTGTCAGGCCAACTGTAATTTTAAGGGGTTAAAATATTGACAGTATGGTCAGGAGTATTATTAAAATCCCTCTTGCAGTCTGGGCTCTCCAAGCTACACTTAAATGTGGCATCAAGGCTTAAGGACACGTGTGCAAAGTCAACATGTGAAAGGACCTGGGAGTGCTGGGTGTCTGTGACCTCTCGCTGCTGTCTGTAGTCGCAGGTCCCTCCTTGTTCTGGTCCAGAAAGGTGCTCGTTTGTTCCTCAGATTTCAAAGGTTGTTTGGCAGAAGGGTCAAGACCAGCCATAAAATCTATGCTTTGCTTCAGGCTGTCCAGCCTTTCCTATTAGGGAAGGTGAAAAACATGCTTTTTACTTGGATTTAAGAAAGAGAAAAAAATAACCAAGGAGAAGAAAACTGTGGTGCTGAGTTTGTGAGCATCTGCTGCCCCCAACTGTTGCTTTGTTCCTAAAGCAAGGTTACAGCAGCCTGACTTACAGATTATTTTACAGCAGGCTATTTATCAGTAGAGAACACCTGGGTCCTTATTTGTGTGCTATTTTGGAACTTTTAGTACATAATTCACTTTTCTCCTGTCTCAATTATTGTAACTCACTTTTTATGTAAATGGCCTGTATTTGTATAGTGCTTTACTTAGTCCCTAAGGACCCCAAAGCGCTTTACACTACATTCATTCACTCACACATTCACACACTGGTGATGGCAAGCTACAATGTAGCCACAGCTGCCCTGGGGCACACTGACAGAGGCGAGGCTGCCGGACACTGGCGACACCGGGCCCTCTGACCACCACCAGTAGGCAACGGGTGAAGTGTCTCGCCCAAGGACACAACGACCCAGACTGTCCGAGCCGGGGCTCGAACCGGCAACCTTCCGATTACAAGATGAACTGCCAACTCTTGAGCCACGATCTTTAGATTACTATGAGCCTGTTTTCAAATTGTCCAGAATGCAGCAGCGCTGCTGCTCACAAAAACAAAACATTTTAGTTAATTTTAAAATGTTATTAATAACACATAAAGCCCTACATGGCCAGGCTCCTGTCTATATAACAGTGCTAGTGACACCACATTCCAACAACTGGCCTCTCCAGTCATCTGATTACAGTCTGTAAACTATTCCACACTCTTCTATTTTAAATCCAGAGACGACCAAGCTTTTGAGGTTGCAGCTCACTAACTTTGGTACACGCTTCCTTGTTTTTAAAAGACTAATGACAGCAAATTTTTTATATGTTAACTTTTCTTAAAATGTTTACCCCTTGTATGTAAGAATGAATGTAAGACTGTATGTTTCATTTTCTGTCTGTACTATTACTACGGAACTATGTGTTTTAAAAAGTGCCATTCAAATAATGTTATGGTTATATAATTATAAAAGAAAAATTGGTGCATATGAATGCAGTATGTTTGTGTGCATTTTTTTATTGCTGACAGATGTCTAAAAAAACTACAACAGCTAATGTGGACACAAATCGTCTTTACAACTTTAACATTACTGCAAAGTTTGTCATACATTAGGCTTTATAAAAATTTTGATGGACAAAAAATTATTTGAAATAATTATAAATAATAAATTTTTGGGGGCTTTCAAACTGAAGTTTTCTGTTATCATGTACACGGTTTTAAAATAAAGCTCCTTAATTTTTTAATACTTGATGAACCCAAATTACCCCCAAGTAAAAGAGGTCAAAGAAAATGACGGTCCAAGGTCACGATACCTGGCTCAAGATCTTCATTCCGGAATGTAACAGTTTCCGTGCTGCTTTGTGGTAGATTGTCTCAGGTTTGTTGTAAATCATGGCATTTTCACACATAATCCTGAAATCAACCTGCATCAATGACATGCGTAACATTTTAAAGCATGACAAATACAACAGCTTCTGTTAGTTAAAACACACTAAAAATGTGTTCAAATGTGGCCTTTAGGGAAAACACATATACTTAACATTTTTAACATGATTTAAATTTTTTTTGAATAAGATGAAGACATCATTGACAAAGTTTTAGCAGTTTGATTAAACAAAGAAGTATAATCTGCAAATTGCACTGAAGCTACTTGTCATCAAAGACAGGCAAAAAACATCAAGTATCAGAACATACATTAAGAAGGGAAAAAATACTAATTTTTTTCACCCAAAACAAGTATCATTAGTGGATGTGAAAGGACCTGGGAGTCCTCCATAAGCACCACGTCAGTGTGTCCTACAGTAAGCTAGAGTATCAGCAATTACAAGAGCTGTGTCTTTAAACTTGAAAGAACGGTTTTATTTATTTCTTCTAACCGAATGCAATAGTACAACTGGCAGTAACACAGACATGTACCTTGAGTTCATCCAGTGACTGGTAGCACTCTTTCTTTACTTTGTCCTTCATCGTACTGAAGTCCATGGGACGCTTGATGACTGCAGAGTAACCAGGAGCAATGAGGTCTGTCACTGGAAATGAAAAGAATGCGTTCGGGTCTTTCCTGCAGAGGAGACACAAACAGTTTTTAGTTGCAGAAATATCATTACCTAATGCGGTGAGTTGCTCACGTCATTATTTATAGATATTACTAAATGTCAAATAAAAATAAAAATGCAAATGCACAATTATCCCTGATCAATAGGTGATAAATGCTGCTGCACCTTTGGAGCTGCCTGATGAGCTGATTCAAAGCTTCCTGCAGAGGAGTCTGTTCTTTTTCTGTGGAAAGGAGCAAAATAACTTAAGATTCTTTCTGCAACCTTCAGAATAAGTGTTAGTATTAATTTGGGAAATATTTAACATTACCTTCCTGTTTATCAATCTCTGAACGTATAGGAGTCCTGCTCTGCTCCCGGTCATCATCTCCATCTGCATCCTGCCCTTTCTTCTTTTTAGTTACCTAAAATAAACAAACAAACATACATTAAATTCACACACACACACACACACACTACCCTTTTAAAATATAAATCTAAATTATCTATACCAACAGATATGATGTTTACCTTCTTCTTCCCCTTTTCCTCCTCTGGTGACCCAAAGCTTTTCTCTTTATCCTTTTTCTTCTTCTTTTTCTTGTCTTTGGGTTTGTCAAAGTCAGCCGGCTGTTCGTCATAAAAAGTGTCAAGGCTCGAGCTTCCTGCCGTCACTTCATTTCCGGACACTTTCAGCACCAGCTTCAGTGGTCTGTCTCCATATTCTGTACAAACAAATATCGATTAATTATCAAAATAATGGTGTGTGACTACAGTGAGAACATACGGCAGCTTAGGAAAGCTAGAAACAATAGCCGCTAACAACTAACTCGAAGTCATTTAACTTACGCTGCACGTCTAGCGAACAATGTATTGTATTCACACATCACCACCTCAGTATTATTATTTTTCATTTAAAAAAAATGATGGAAACGTGTAGATATCCATATAACTAAGTCGGGAAGGTAGTTTAGCAGTAAGCTAGTTTGCCAACTAGCTCTATTGTCGTGCTAACAGTGCTACAATACAAAAACACAGGGGCTACGAGTTAGTTTAAAATGTAAAAACGGTTTATTCTGATAAGCAGTTAAACTGTGTGGGATGAAATACCTTCATATCCATGCTTCTCGGACTTGTGCTTTTTGTGCTTCTTGCCCATTGTCTATGTTTTGGTCTGCACCGGCGGCTAACTGCTGTGGCTGAGCACTGTGGTAGCTGATGTAAAATTTCACCAGAGGCAGATACACTTGCAGCGTCACCTGTCGGTGCGGCGGTGGTAAAACCCATGTCTATGGGTACGACCGCCCTTCCAGCCGGAAGGAGGCGACATAACCTTTGAAATAAACTTCAATCACGGACCCAGGCCTGCATAACTGCCATTTGCCATGACACCCCCCCCCCCTTTTAAAATAACATATGATAATAATCGTTCACCTGGAGAAATCACTCAATCAATCTTAAGCCACATACAAATACAGGGAGCACATGTTAACCACACTCGTTATGTACTGATAATTCAGCACGCCTGAATCATATACAGAATGTCCATTTTCCTTTAATATATGGATAAGTAAAAAAATAAAAAATCGAGATGCTTAGAAGATATGTCCAACTCCAGTACTGTGAGTATAAACACATACAACAAGGGAAAGTTCATGATGAAAAGAAAAAATGTAGTATTGCACCTTTATGAAGCCAGGAAATTTGCAAGTGGCGCAATATTAGAAAAAACCTGAAGTAACAGCTTGTTTTTTCCTTTTTTTTAGTCCACTATAAATGTCACACAGTAAACATGCTGAGCTTTTCTTTCCTACAACCAAAGTTGGTCAAACTCAATGCTAAATTTAAAACACAGGTTTTCAGTTTTACTCGGATTACATCAAGATTAGTTTTTAGAGCTGACATCAGACAACTATTGACTGTATTCATCAGCAACTCTTTAATACACCTAGAGTGTTGCATACTGATGTGTTTAAATGATCCATATATATTAATTTTAATGCACTGGGTATACTTTTATTGCACTTTTTTCCATAACATTATTTCAGTGATTGAAATCAGTGTCTTAAGACCCAGACACATGTCTGAAGTCTGAAGTCACAAACATTAAAAAGTATATTTGTGCTATCACCTGCAGGAATTTTACTCACCGTATTTTTGCCTGCTTATAAACAAACTGTGGCAGAGAAATAAAAGTATCAAATACAAAACAAAGACAAAATAAATGAATAGTATAAATATGGTAGTTTACTTGGAAATTGTGCAATTATGCCACTTGTCAACTCTCCAGCCTCTGGATGCAGACTTTAGTAGACTTTTATTTTTTCTTATCCTACAGCAATGTAGTAAAGTGGAGCAGAACCCTCCACAAATTACCCTGAATGGTTTGTGTAATGAGTTGGCAGAATATATTGCAATCTTCAACACGGGTGAAGTAAAGTGTCTCTAAAACACAGCGGTTAATATTGAGGTCTTTCTTAAAACTTAAATTTAAAATTTGTTAAAAAAGCAGACACCTCTGTAAAGAAAAGAGAGATGATATTTGGTTGAATGTTGACTTCGCAGGACTCTGTAGCTGCAGGAGCTTCCCTGTCCGTTTTGGAGCTGTTATACTCGGTTAAATTGGGACATATTGTACTGTCTGATGAATGACAGATGTTTTATTCATGGCGGAAAGATAGTCTACATTCTTTGATGCACATTCCAGGTTTTATGAAAAGGGCAAAAGATGAAGTGGAAAACTCGAAAGGAATGAAGATTGACAGAATCCACTATTTGAGCCATTCCTGGTCATAGATGAAGATGTGATATTTATACTCTGTTATTGTTTGAGTCTCCTATCTTAGCAAACTCATCCCCAGCAAATTACTATATTACATTCTTTACATATTCGCTGTTATTGTGTTGGGGAAAAAATCAGTTGCATGTTATCCATGGCCATATTTAAAATTAAAATAACCAGAAAATTTAGTGTAGTAATTCAGAGACTGGTGGTTTTCTTAGGTGTCACTTGTGCAAATGAAAATGCACATACAGCTGTAATTCACTTGGAACTTGATTTAGACCCTCCCTGTGATGAAAAGCCACTGAGTTCCTTATGAAATAGAACGGTCAGGGAAAGTGTTTCCTAGCAATATGCCCACAATTCTCTGAGGGGTAATTGTGTTTTCTTTCCTCCTTGACTAAAATTAAACAAACAAATAAAGGATCATTTGTGGGCCTCAAAAAATGATGGATTTTCATCCTCCCTGAAACCTCTGAAGGCAGCAGAAACAAGTTTTCTGCCTGTTTACACTTCCAGCAAATATGAGTTGGAGATTGGATTTGTCTACATAGTAAATGCTGTTAGGAAATTGAGGAAATTGTTTCAGGCCCTAAAACCAAAATAATAAGCTGAAAGACACCAAAATGTTCCACAAAGTTGAGGAGCTTAGTTTCATTTTGGATTGTTTACATACCAGGAATGATTGGTACAGCTTTATAGTCACTCATGAACATACACATTTTCTTTCCAGAAAAAAAAGTTTGGAGTCATTTACGTGTGTTGTATGGTGTATGTTATTGTGTATCACAATCCTGGATAGTAGCTTTGAACAAAGTGATTATAAAATCACTAATATCAAATACATTTTGGCCTTTTTGAGCCTTTCTAATGAACATTTTAGATAGCTACAACATGAGAACAAACCTCCTTTCAAAATGTTCTTCATTTACTGTCCATGCAATGTAATGAGTACAGCAGTCAAAGATAGATGTCTGTGTTCTCTACAGATTTGCTAGTCCAGTACTACTCTGCAGCCCCAGAGAGGCCGTGGGATCCATCTGCTTGAGTCCAGCTGCAGAGCTGCGCACACATTGGAAGTCCATGGATTAAAAGGAGATCAGTTACACCAAACAGGGTTAACAAATGGCAGATGTTGTGAAATTCATTATCCTCTGTCACAACAGAGGGGCTAAAGGGACCCGGAGACCATTTCCACATGAAAGCTGCTTCCCAACAGAACCATGGGAAACCGCTTCCCGCCCTGCAGACGGGATGGAACTGGCATGTTTTGGTCTGCACATATACACAACAAAAATACAAACAGGGATACAAATGCAGGCTTTGAACGGTTTATCTGTTTTGCACATGGTTTGACTGAACCAGCTTTGGAGATAAAATGTGCTGTTTGGACTGCCTGAGCCAGAGCACCACAGTCTTTCCCCCCCCTTTTTTATGGTGTTGGGACAATCTGGTTTGAGTTGGGCTGTAAAATGTCATCCCGGTGACAGTCCTGTAGTTAAAAACTATCTCTTAAAAATAATTTAAAAAACAATTTCCCCTTTATTTTCACTCTTGGTGTTTTCGTGTATTTTCTCTGATTTTGCAACTTTTTGTTCCTACCTCTGTTTTCAATCTTGGATATTAAAGTTATAGCTTCTTTTCTTGCTAATTACATCAAACCTAAAGCCTATGGCAAATGGAAATGAATAACGTCTGCCCTTTTGGCTGGATGTGAGAATATTTGATGAAGTTCGGTCATAGAAGTCTTTTCACTAGAAGTTGTGAGCGCGCTACTCAGTTATGACAGATGAAATGTTTGGGGTCATTACAACTGTCAACGCAGAACGGGTTTGAAGATGTAACCAGCCATCACAAATAAGTCAGACAGAAACATCAAAGAGGAGAAGCCAATCATTCTGCCTCAGTGTTTTTCTCCCGTATGCCAGTGTGTCATGGCAACATCTTTGAGCATCAATCACTCATCCCCGTCAAAGCGCTAACTCTATTTTTATCTGAAATCAGAACACTTCATGCACGTGGGTTTTTGATTGTCAGTTTTTACAGCTCGCCATTGTCGCCGTGTTGTTGTCCTGTAGTCCTCTAACATTCTACCCAAGTCTGTAGATGAAAGTATGCGCTCTTTTTTTGTGCTCTAACAATCACTTCTTGTGATGTAGAGACTGCAAAAAGCTTGTTAAGTGCAAAACAATGGTCAATATAACCTTTTCCAGGGCAGAAAAGTGTTATGAAATGTGATAGACATTTCAGATTGTTTATAAAAGATGGACATAGCCGCAAAGATGTCACACTAAGGTAGTGTAGATGGACTAAGGTAGTGAGATTTACCAGCATGGTGCGTGGATAGAAGGCGCACAGATCATTTTGTGAATATCACTTAAAAGTAATCAAATAAAATGCTAGAAAACCAGTCCTTAAAACCAAAGCACAAACATCTGGACAATCTGCGTCACAAAAAGGGTAATATTATTTACAAGATCTTTTAATTTAAATGCTGCAAAAGGCACCAACGCTGCAGTAGTTTCACTGATTTGATGGTCTGCACATTGGCAAACATGCGTCTGTGCCCTGACTTTAAGCCTGTGTTTTAAAATAGCTTCAAAAACCTTAAAATGTAAGCTAAATGTGTCAACATAATGTTAACAAAGACTATCTTAACGCTAACTCTGGCAAAATACAAAAACTCCTGAAGAAATGAGGGCAGAACTACAAAGAAATATCAAAAACTGAAAGAACAGCAGGGAAAATGTTTCAACACACCCACTGATAAAATGCTGCCCCTGGTGATAAAAGTTGTATATTTTGGAGAAGGTGATTACAGAAGTTACCTTTTGGTAAACCTGAAGAAGTCAGGCATTTTGCAGCTCAAGTGCAGTTTTAGCACCTATGTATTCACTTTTTTATTTCTGCCCCAAAGGTTACCTCCTGGATTTAACATCATGACCTCGTATGCTGCTTTAGTTACTGAATGTGTTCTTATTAACGTTTGACATCTTCAGTTTTTAGCCACAGTATTCTCTGATCTAGTTACTCCTATGTATATTTCACTGGCCTTGCTTAATATTTATTTATTTATTTTTTAGTATAATATCACTCTTTGCTTGAAGGTACTTAATGTATTATTCTGCTTTTGAAAACTCCATTATAATGCGAGATTCTCTTAAGGGAGGCTGATCTGATGTGTGACTCTACAGGGGATTCTTGGGAGTTATCTGTGTGTAAATGCATAGCGCACACGCATCAAAAAATGCTTACATGCATCATAAATTTGGAAGTGTGTGAGTGTGAGCACATGTGATAGGACAAACAAGGTGGGTAAAGGATAGGGTGGGAGTGGGGGGATGATTTCTGTCGATCTGAGTCTTTATTCTCCCCAAGCCTCTGAAGACAGTGGTCCTGGGGTGGGTAAAATACACAGGGGAGTCGTGTTCAAAGCCTGCGAGCTTGGTGACGATCCTCGTCAG